CACACACACACACAACACACAACACACAACACACAACACACAACACACAACACACAACACACAACACACAACACACAACACACAACACACAACACACAACACACAACACACACCACACACACACACACACACACCCCACACACACACACACTTTTCTCAGCTTCCAGGCACATTGCATGGAACATACGTCGGGCAACAGCACGCAGAGTTGAGCATTTGCTCCAACATATTCCTCGTGACCATGAGACTATCGCTTGGATACCCAGGCTGCGAGCGTGTATGCCGCACGCTATTCACCGGCATAGTGCGTGCGCCTGCAGGGAGCAATGGGCAATGTCCCATCCCTCCTTTAGCAAACCAGATAGGGTACGGCACTCTTTTCTGCAGATGCCTGGAATTCGATTGGGAACATTGTTGCACTTCCCTGCCGAAGATGGCTGGCAGGTAGCAGCAAGCATCGCCCCTTATGAGGAGGAGATAAAAAGCAGTACTCACTAGTCTCCAGTTCTGATACTCCCCGCCCCCCATATCTAACCCACACATAACCTTTTGACCTTCTGAGGAATTTCTGGGGGAACAAGATTCCCAAATTCCCTGGGAGAAGCACGAGGGGGCTCTTCAGCTCAGGATCTCCGTGTGTTTTTCGCTCAGGGCCCAGGGGTGTACCTGTATCTTGGGGACAAGAGCTCAGTAGTCGGGATTCCAGCTTACTCTAATTGCACAAACAGGTATACATATACATACCAGCATAAAAAAGCATATCATATATATATATATGTATAGATATGTGTATCTTGAAGTTCTCTAACTTACTATGGTATACATGTGTTTCTGTATTTGAGGGTCTTAGAAATTGGACCCCAAACCTGTTTAGGGCTCATTTTGTCCCCCCACTCCCCCGAAGATTCGATCCCCTCTCCCTCTCCATAGTACCAAGCATTCCGATCATGTTGTCACATGTGCTCGTTGTTTTGTTGCTCATGTTTGGCTTATGTTTAGGGTTTAGGGCTTCGGTGTGTTAGGCATTGGTCTCGGCGCGGGTTGCTTGTCGCTCCAAATTTCCCGGGGGGCAGGGTGAGGCTCTCCAAAACGCCTTCAGTAGTAGCCCCGTAAGATATCCCCCCCCCCCCCCCCAACTGAAGAGCTGGGTTTAGGGTTTAGGGGTGTAGGGTTTAGGGGAAGAGCTGGGTTTAGGGTTCGGTTCAACATGGTTCTGGGTCTCAGGTCAACCCTGACCTCAAAAGGTGACCGGAACAGCCTGGGCTTTAATTCAGCCTTCCTTCAAGGTTAGGGCTTAGGGTTTAGGGTTTAGGATGTTAGGGGCTTAGGGTTTCGAGGCCTGTTTTAGTTGAGACCGTTGAAGACGTTTGAAGGGCAGACGGCGTGCGCGCTCGGCAGGTCATGCCAAGTGCCATGGTTGGTCTGAGTCAGCCGCATCAGAAAGAGAAGCTCTTGAGCCTCCGAGTAGCCTGAAACACCAAACTCAGGCCTCACCCCTATCCAAACTCACCATTGCAAGCTACCCACCCTTGCAATCTCTCCCGAGAACGGAATCTACTCTGCTTTGTGTGTGTGTCGGTTTGATCCAGCGGACGCACGAAACGCGGAACCACGCCGGCCATCGCGGGAGAAAAGCGCCAAGCGTTTGGGTCTGCCAAAGTCGAGGGAGAAAGTGTTTCCCAGAGAGGCCGATAGCTCTTGCCGAAGCTGTAAACCCAACTCTGAACGGCCTTATAGCGTGAGTCAGTACCGAAAGAAGCTCCTGGTAGAAGTCTGCGTTTTTGATCCTAGCGCCCTAAACCCAAGGCCCTTCATGCGAGTATCCTATAGCCCTAAATCACGAGACCCCAAAGCTTCAACACTATAGAATGTTAAGGTTCAGGGAAATATGAAGCATTGAGGGGGAGGGGGGCGGGGTGAGGGGATGGTGAGGCGGGGTGTTAGGGTTTCGGGTTGAGGTTTACAGGTTCAGAGGTTTAAGGATAGGGCCTAGGGTTTAGGTCCCACAGATTTTTTGAGGGCTCACCGGTTTTGTTTGGCATTGGAGGGCATTTTTGACCCTAAAACCTAAAAGCCCTAAAACCCAGGTATCAGCGGTTCCTCCTTGATTCGCTCTTCGTCGACTCGCCAAGGCGCGCGCGGTTGGTGCGTCTCCAGCTTGGGCCTTGTCTGGTTGTTGGGAGCAAACATGGGCTTAGGGGTTTTGGGTTTAGGGTTTGGGTTTAGGGTTGGGATGTTCGCCCTTTTTCTAACAGTCCTTAGTAGGGAATTCTAATGGAGGGCACTATATAATCCCGAATGAGGTCTGAGGACTGTTAGTATCATACGGGCGCTGAGCTACGGAAGAAGTAGCTTATGAAGTACCCTGAACGAGGTTATAGCCCTACTTGCCCTACTTAATGCCATACGTACCCATGAACCTCGAGGTGTTGAGCACTACTGCCTAGCTGCCCCAAAGAATAGCGAAAGCCAAACAAACCAAAGCCTTAAACCTCCAAGCCCCAAGCCGACAACGCGTAAATCCAATCGCATCCAAAGCACAAAACGCCTACACCCATGAGATTCCCAGGACCCTAAACCCTAAACTTTAAGCCCTAAACCCTAAACCCGAAAACCCCAAACCCTCCAACTCCTACGCCAAGAAAGGCCCTGGGCTGTGAGATTCGCTGCCGGAGCCATGGCAGGGGCGACAGCCACGACGCTGACGTACCTGGTTTAGGGGTTAGGGTTTAGGGTTTCGGGTTTCGGGTTTAGGGTTTAGGGGGGGGGGGGGTAAAAGCTAGTGGGCCCCGCCTACCCGCATGGGCTATTATACCCTCTAACCCGAAAAGACGCTTTATGGGGTTGATTATGGGGATTCTAGGGCGTGATAGCCCCCGCCGAAGCCCTAACCTCTGCAACATAGAGTCGGAAAAATGACCACCCGTCTTCCGTTATGGTCTGCCATTCTACTATACGAATCACCCCCTCAACCCTGTTCTAGTTTCGGCCCCTACGTTCACCCTGCGCCCTTTCCTTTTTGAGCTGAGGTTCCAGGTCCTTTAGAATTTCAGGGTTAAGGGTTTGGGGTAGAGTTTAAGGTCTCACGGTTTGTGCGATCCACATGGCCGAGCACAATAGGTCTTTGTCGTGTGCTTCTTTTGGGTTTGGGCGGCCTTATACTTAGACCTTCGGGATTTAAAGTTTATTTAGATGAAACGGTTCTTTACAGGGTGGGGCCCCCTTACTATACTAACTGTAGTTAAGGGACTTATAACCTAACTTAGGGTCCTTATAACCCAATTTCGGGCCCTTATAACTCTACTTATAACTAGGGGGCCCCACCCTGTAGGGGGGGGGGGCTCATGGAGGGTAGGTATCTCGAGAGACTTCGGGAAGCTTAGGGAGCCGCAGGGAGTGGTGGGGAGTATCAGGGACCTTGGGTTACATGCCCCCTACGAACCCCCCGCTGCCTTAAAACCCTAAACCTAAACCCTAAACCCTAAACCCTAAACCCTAAACCCTAAACCCTAAACCCTAAACCCTAAACCCTAAACCCTAAACCCTAAACCCTAACCGTGAGAGAGTCCAAGTCCGCATGAGGGCGCCTGTGCTTCGAAACCAAGCTAATGAAGCGGCACCCTGCAAAACCTGTTTCCGCCTGTAATCCTACCCTAAACCCTAAACCCTAAACCCTAAACTTTTCCAGATTCCCCTCCAGAAACTAGGCCCCCCTCCCTTGAGCGAGAAGTATACCCATGACACCCTAAACCCCAAAACAGGGAAGTGACCTGCCTCCCTAAACCCTAAACCCTGAACCCTGAACCCTGAACCCTGAACCCTGAACCCTAAACCCTAAACCCTAAACCCTAAACCCTACAGACCCGTGCCTCCCTGCAGCATCTGAGGTATCCCCTTGCATCTTGGGCCCGCAGAGCTGGGGCTTTCTGGGGGTTTAGGGGTTTAGGGTTTAGGGTTTAGGGTTTAGGGTTTAGGGTTTAGGGTGTAGGGTTGATAGGGCTTAACGTTCGATGAGTCCCACTTGGAAGTTCATTCGGGTACTTGCAGGTAGGGTTAGGGTTAGAAGTAAGGTGACTCTAAACCCTAAACCCTAAACCCTAAACCCTAAACCCTAAACCCTAAACCCTAAACCCTAAACCCTAAACCCTAAACCCTAAACCCTAAACCCTAAACCCTAAACCCTAAACCCTAAACCCTAACCCTAAACCCTAAGTCAGGACCTCCTCCGCGCCCAGATGGCCATCAGCATGACGCCACCCTGGCCGCAGCTTAGGATTCTGGTCGGGTTCAGGTTTAGGGTTTAGGGTTTAGGGTTTAGGTTTTAGGGTTTAGGGTTTAGGGTTACTTGGAGGTTCGTGGGTACTTATGACCCCATTAAAAGCCTACTTAGAACCCACTTAGAGGACGTAGGGGTCTTAGGGTGTGTGTGTGTGTGTGTGTGTGTCTTTGCGTTTGTGTTTGCGCTTGCTTGCTCGCGTTTTTGTTTGATGCCCATAGTCTGTGTCTTGGGCTTCCTGATTCCTCATTGAGGCGCGTGTATTGCAGTAAGCATGTCCATTTTCCCAAAATGGTCACGTCGGTCGGATGCTAAACCCAAACCCTAAAGTTGTTGGGGGGCTTAGTGAAGAGGCTTGCTGCTGTTGTTGATCGGCGCATGTATGTTTCCATTGTGTATATAGACATATATACATACATATACATATGTGTTTTTCTGTCTACTTATTTGTACATTGACCGATGAGTGAATATGCTGGGTGTCCGTTGCCGCATACAAGTACAAAGAAACCCTTCTACCTGTAAGAGCCTGTTTGCAGCTCAGGTATCCACTAGAAGGGTACATGAGCCCTTGGGGCAAGACAAGGTCTCTGTGGGATCGCATGCCGCACTCCTCCTATACAGCTGCCGCAGAAGACATCGTGCGAGACGAAGGTGGGGACCGGGCAAGGGGTGACCGGCTTTAGGTTTTAGGGTTAGGTCTTGATGATTCGGAGCCTACTCCCACGCCGTAAAGGAGGGTAGATGCGTGCAGTAGAAGAAAAGGGACTCTCCCCTTCTCAAGGGGTGCGAATATACAGCCGAATGAATCATAGTCTTATTCTTGACACCCCAAGCCCTTCAGCCCTCTTGGTGCGATTGGTGTCAGCTTGGCCGGTGGCAGAACAGCCCTCTTGGTAGGGCTTTTTGTTTTCTCAGGTTTGAAGACGTGAGTGTCGGAGTCAGTCCACTCCGGGTTGTGTCTTTAGCGTTTCGGTTCAGGGTTTAGCCATTTAGGGAGGGTTGAAAACTCGGGGCGCGATATTCGCTATATATATATATATATAGCGGCTTTAGCCCACCCCTGCTCTTGAGCTCAAACTCAGCTGTCGGGTAGCGGGTTTCAGGGCAAAGAAGTAGTTGCTTGTATCGGACTAGATATATGGGTGCATGGGCGCAGGATGGTCAGGGCTGTCCAACGGCAATACACACCTGTGTCACGCAACCTTGAACTTCCGCGTCCGGGTAGTCAGAAACATGGTCGGTATTCCTACAAGGAGGGGGCCCCTTACTTTCCTGCTTGTAGCTATAGTTGAGGGACTTGTAACCCAAGATAGGATCCTTATATCCCAATTGAGGGTGATTACAACCACTACTTAGAGCTAGGGGGGGCCCCTTCTTGTACATCCAGCAAGCCAGATGCGGTCTCCTGGTTGGCTCTTGGTTCTTACCATCGCACACACACCCTCCTAGAACGACCAGGGCTTTCCCTCCTCGCATCTGAGACACACCCTAGACCTCTTCAAACGCAAGACCTGCATGCAAATATAGCCTGAAGCTGAGAAGCAACTAGTAACTAGAACTTGGACCTTCAAAATTTATACCACCCTCAACCCTGAATGTCCTCATTGCAAGTTTGGCTTAAGCCAAGTGTGCCTTCACGACCTCCAAAGCAGAGCGAGTGACGGGTGTGCTTGCAGAGGCGAGGTAGGTATCATTTGCAGCACCTGCCAGTTGATGAAGTTGAGTAGAGGAGCCTAGATGTAAGCTGCTCGAAATAGCCCTCTTAACAGGGAATGGGCTGCCATATCATCGCCAAAGACCCGAGCAGCTTTCGCTGGATTCGTAGCTTGAGTTCAACACTCTTATGAACCCTAACCCCCTAAGCCATAAACCCTAAAGCGGTAATGTGGGTAGATTGCAATTACTACTCTTTGCTTAAGAACCCCCAAAAAAAATAATAATCCCCATATTGCCCTCAATAAGGAAGAATATTCATTTTGGGGGGTTCTTAAGCAAACCTAAGCCCTAAACCCTGAACCCTAGTTGTAGTAGGTTTTGTCGGGGCCATGTGGAGATATCTTGGTATTTCCCTCGGCCCAGGGTCCAAAACGGCTGGCAAACAGACCTGGGCTGTCCCCCGAGCCAAACCCTAAACCCTAAACCCTAAACCCTAAACCCTAAACCCTAAACCCTAAACCCTAAACCCTAAACCCTAAACCCTAAACCCTAAATCCTAAACCCTAAACCCTAAACCCTAAACCCAAACCCTAAACCCTAAACCCTAAACCCTAAACCCTCCCTCCATCGGCAATGGCGCCGGCAGCTTAAGATGCCTCTGCGGATCAATGTTGCCTCACTGACAACGACGCCCCAGAACTCTGCCAAGGGCTCCGGAAGCGCGTCTGCGAAGACAGCGGCCTGGGGGGGGGGGGGGGATCAAAACAGGATCAGGGTTTAGGGTTTAGGGTTTAGGGTTTGGGGTTTCATGGCAGCTTGAGGTACGTAAGAGAGCCCTCCAACAAAAGGGTTTGGGGTTTAGGGGTTTAGGGTTTAGGGCAGGAAAGATTGGCGTTTAGACAGCAAAGACGATATGATCGCCATATGTGTGTGGCGCGTTGTGAAGACCCTGAGCCTGACACCTAAATTCATATTCTGTGCAATGTGTTCAGTTCTAAGTTTGCTGGTGTCTTGCAAAGACCTACAGATCCCAGCTTGCCGGCAGACATCCCAAGCCCGTGCTCGAAAAGGGTTTAGGGTTTAGGGTAGCATGTCCTTGGGTTTTCGCGGCTTTGATTGGGTTAGCAGTGCCGAAATTGGGACCCGCTTTGCAAGGAAAAATCTCCAACCCCACAAGCCCGAGCAAAAAGCCCTACAGTTTCAACCCTAAACCCTAAACCTTAACCCCTAAACCCTAAACCCTAAACCCTAAACCCTAAACCCTAAACCCTAAACCCCCTGCAGTTCGAACCCTTGAGGTGGTCAACCCCAAGGAGGGCGGCACTGAGTTGGGCGTGTATCTGGCTTGGGTCAAGAGAGAGCTGGACAATGAGAGCGCGTGTCCCTTTGGAGTTTGCATGAGCCCATGAACTGGGGGTTGTTTAGGATTTAGGGTTTAGGGTTTAGGGTTTAGGATCATACACCTTCTGAGGGTATACATGGACTGTAAGAACGCCTTTAAGGCTGCCTAACCCTAAGCCCTAATTCCCTCAATTCCATGTTGGTCTCCTTAAGGTTTAGGGTTTAGGGTTTACGGTTTAGGGTTAAGGTTTGGAGCTGCCCTTCACGCTGTTGCTGCTCATCTCATTCTCACTCTTTGCCCTGCTCCACCTGACCCTGGGAGGCAACAAGAGATGTTAGGGTTTAGGGTTCAGGGTTCAGGGTTCAGGGTTCAGGGTCCTGTCTCTAATCCCGTTTTCTCGGGTCATGCAGTGCCCACAAGGAAGCAGCACGACACCTTTGCGGTGGAGGGTGCCTGGAAGCAAGAGTTGATTCAGAATCTTGGTAGCCCGATGGTACCCTTTTTGGGGTTTGGGGTTTAGGGTCTAGGGTAGCCTAGTGGTACCCTTTTGCCCCTTTTTTGGGTTCAAGGTTCCCTCATAAAGTAGCCAGCCCAAGAAAAAAGGACCCTAAGCCCACATCCTGATTTGTTTGTTGCTGGCCTGCGTTTAGAGCATACATTCATAGCATTTCAAGCCAGGAATTGCAGGGCCAACGTTAGGAAAAACAAACACCTCCGCCAAACCCTAAATCCTAAACCCTAAACCCTAAACCCTAAACCCTACCAAGGAATGCGAACTTTGCTTGGGCCCAAGACTTCGGGCATAAGTCGGTCTATGACGTCCACTCCTACGCAGACTCTCGGTCGCCCAGTGGCTGCCCCGTTTGCTCCTTTTTTTGGGGGCGGGGTTATGGGTCTTTTTTGTTGCGACGTACCCGACTACAAAAAAGGGTGGCCTTGTTATGTATATATATATATAGATTATATATATATACACACATACTCTTTGTATTTCTGTGGTTTTAGTGGGCTACCAAGGACTTTTGGTCCTGGTTCCGGATCGGCTTCCTCCCTTTGGCGGTGCAACATAGCTGGGCATTCTCTGAGGGGCTTGCTGCCCAGTATGCGGCGCTCGCGTCAGAGAACGTGACGCCCTTCAGCCCCGCGCAGATGCCTACAAACTACACCGTAAACTACGGCCCGGAGCCAGACGAGGCCTGGGCACAGGCCACATTGCCCGTTCCTGATCAGTTCTCGACGTTCAACAGGATCGTTGCTGGCATCCGCCTTCGCCAGGAGCGGGCGGCTGCGAGTTGGGAGAGCTGCAAGGTGCCGGGCACAGTCGACGCTGACTTGATGCGGGCCTGGCTACTTAGTGGTAGAGTAGGTAGCCTTTTACTAATACCTTTTTGGGGTAATAGAATCCCCTTAGAATCCCAAAGGTTAACCTCTATAGTTCCCCCAGGATACTGGACCACTAAGGTTAGGCAAGCCTTGCATGCCTGCGGATCCTCCCTACGAGCTGACGCCCGAAGCGCACCATGCCGAATCCTTCCAGGCGCCAGAGCGGACGGAGTGGCTCCTGTCGCAACAGAGGACGCTGAAGGAGTTGCAGCTTGCGAGCTTGGACATGGAGGACGGCTGCTCGCAGCTCGACGCAAAGTGGGGCAATCTCAACAGCACGCGGTACAGCTGCGCCTGCAAGAGCTGCGCAGATGGGGCCAGGGCGCCCGATGGCCAGCCTCAACCAGGGCCATGGCTGGACGAATACACACAGCGTGTGGAACTGGCGATGGTCTCTTGGTAGCCCAGTGTTGTACCCTTATGCCCTACCTTAAACACCAAACCTAAACCCTAAACATGGGATCTTCCCCCTTATACTAGCCGTCCTTATAATCGAGGTTATAATAGCGAGCACTATATTCCCTATTCAGGACTGCGCGTATAAGCAAGGGGGAACATCCCAACCCTAAACCCAAAAAACCCAAGCCCTAAACTAACCCTAAACCCTAAACCCTAAACCCGAGAAGGGTACCCTTACCACGCTACCAAGGTCTCCTACAATCAGAACTTCGGGCTCATCTCATTGGTTTCAGTGAACTTCTTCTTCAACCGTGCAGGACTTAGAGGGTTTAGGGTATTGGTTTCAGTGAACTTCTTCTTCAACCGTGCAGGACTTAGAGGGCTTAGGGTTTAGGGTTTAGGGTTAGGGTTTGGCAGGACATGTCTACAAGCTGATCCATGTCCAGTCGGCTTGGTCCAGCTGGCTCTTGGGCAACTTCCTGGAGCAAACGGTGATCCTGGCGGCAGATGTGGTCTGGGTTGGGTCACTTCTCTTCATCTTCATCAGCGAGATTCGCGAGCTCGTGGGCGTGGTGACTAGGTAGGCCCTTGGGACATTTTATGTTTTCCCTTTTTTGGGTTTAAGAGCATCATATCCAGGAATGTTTTTTTCAGAGGGTTTTAGGGGCCATCCTAGGTGAGATCTGCGAAGAACGGCATCTACCAGGCGGTCTTTGGGGACTACTTGAACTTCTGGAACGCCGTCGACTGGGTCTCCATCATCTGTGCTTACGCTGTGATTGGAACCTACCTCCGGCTGATCGTGGAGACGGGCTTCACGACCGGCACGATGGGGCAGTACATCGAGCTAGCTCAGGAGAACTTGACCTACGCCGAGAGTGAAGCCTGGAGCGATAAGGTCTTCGATTCCGTTGAGACCATGGTGCTTGCCGAAGCCGATTTCCGATTCACGCTCAGCTTCTACCCCATCGTGGTCATGCTGCGATTGTTGAAGTCCTTCGATGCCCAGCCCCGCTTGGCTGTGGTAACCAGGACGCTGTACACTGCCGCCGTGGACATCTTGCACTTCTTCATTGTCACTCGGACCCAGAGTCGGCCCTTATTTCCGTTTTTTTTTTTTTTTGCTCTTGGGGTTCCCCTGACAATCCCCCCCTTTGAAACCCAAAAGCTCATCCCCTGAAAGGCACAAAGGGCACCCCCTTGCTATTCCTAGATGACTCCTGCTCTGTGGTGCTGTAACTTTAGATCCTTAGCCTTTTTTGGGGTTTTTTTGGGCTTCTGAATAAGGTAGCTAACATTTCAATTTTTTGCTACCCTGCCAACTGCAGAGCCAAGCCTGGGTCTTTCAGAACCCAGAAAAAAGAAAAAATATTCTTCCTTATGAAGGTTAATGTAAGGAGTTGTGTTTTTTTTTTCATTCTTTTGGGGTTCTTAAACAAACCGTAGTGGGTCTAGGTCATTTCATCCGTGTACCTCTGCTTGGCTCTGAATGCCCTCCTGGTCTTTGGCCAGGACATGCAGGCGCCTTGGGGACCAAATTGAACCCCCAAAAAACGTGGGCTTATAGGGTTTATAACCCTAAACCCTGAACCCTAAACCCTAGTGCGTGCAGTGCGGGTGGCGAAACCCTAAACCCTAAACCCCTTGCCACTGCAATGCCTATCAAGGCAAAGATGAACCCAGAAACCTGAACCCCTTCTCGGGTTCATGTCGTCCCCCAAGGAATTCAGCACCCTCGACCGGGCGCTGTTCTCGAGCTTCCGCGCCATGTTCCTGGGGTGCATTTAGAAGAATTCTTAAATGTCTATGAGTCCTGATCCCTATATACCCTTAGTAGCCCATAGAAATTTAGATTTTTTTATAAGGCCCCCCAAAATCCCCCCAGGTTCGGTGACTGGGACTGGCCACACATGGAGAAGGTGGCCACCGGCCGGCTCATTGCATCCATGTGGATGTGGATGTTTCAGATCATTGTTGCTTGGCTAGGATGCCCAGCAGTACCCGTATTCCCTTTTTGGTAGGTTTAGGTTCCCTTATAAACCCCTTTAAGCAAAAAAGGGCACCCTTTTTCATCCTAGGTTACTGGGCAACCTAGCTGGTAGTAGAGCAGTCAGTTAGCCTTTAACCTTTTGGGGTATTAACTTCCCATTCCCTCTATTAATCCCAAAGGGTTAACCTTTAGTTCCCCAAGGATACCGGACAACTCAGGTTGTCGTACTTCTGGTCAACATGCTCCTGGCCATCATCTTGGACGCCTACTCAGAGGTGAAGTCCAGTGTGTCACTGATGACCACACTAAACACCCAAATCTCAGAGATGCTGCGGCGACGTCGCCAGTCCCTCAACAAAGAGCGGGTGCGACTGTCGGATGTTTGGAACGCGTACCTGGAGAAGTTTGGCGATGAGAAGCTGATGCTCTCAAGCCGAGAGACAGTCACGGCGGAGGATATCATGGAGCAGGTTCCTGGGTACCTCAAATTGCGGCCATTCTTCCGCGATGCTACTAAGGAATGGCTGCTTTTCAAGTCTACACATTTTTGAGTATTGCACAACAACCTTGATAGAGTCCCTCTCCTACCCTACACCCCTGAAGGTGGAGGGCATACCAAAGTCGCAAGCCAAGCGGACACTTTCGAATGCGAGGCAGACATGGGAGCGGAGCTTGCAAGAGCCCTACACCCCAGACCCTGGGAAGCCCAGTGGGTTTAGGGTTTAGGGTTTAGGGTTTAGGGTTTAGGGTTTAGTAACAGGAGTTAGGGTTTAGGGCCGAGAGTCTGGGCTCAAACAAGTTGAGGCCGGCGGGATGCTTCTTTGTAGTTTGCCCATGTTGGGTTCACAAGAGGACCGACTGTTTCTGAGGGTTTTAGAGTTCCACTTCGTCACTTTTTTTGGGTTACACTTGTGTAACCGTAACCACCCCCCCCCCCCCAAAAAAAAAAAACAAAAAAAAGGTGCCCTTGTCCCTTGCAGGTTCATGGGCACTTAGAAGTTGGGTTTTCCGTATCCTCAACAGGTTTTAGCCATAGTTTCGTTCTTTGCCCTGAACTCTAGACCTTCGTAGCCCAGTGGTACCCTTTTCCCAGTTTCTGGTTCAAGCTTCCCTTGTAAAGTAGCCAACCCGAAAAAGGGTGCCCTTATACGAATGTGGTTACTGGGCTACCAAGATCAAGGGATGAAGGCCTGTACTCCGAAGGACTCCTAATATGGCCCTAATACTACCTTAAGGATCTTCTAGCAGGGTCCACACAATTCACGGGTACAACCTCAGTGGTCCTACTTTCCTAGAGCTCTTGGGCCCTCAAAACCCCGGGAATTGAGCCCCCTACCAGTCCCTGCGCAGGAGGTTCCTTGGAGCCTTAAGGTTATAAGTACCCAAATGAGCCCTTCAAGTATGGATACGGAGCTAACCCTGAACCCTGAACCCTAAACCCTAAACCACCTAAGGACAGCTACATGGAGCAACTCAAGCTCTGTGAAGTAACTTGGTCGCCCCAATGGTGCCCTTTTGCCATTTTGTTGGGGGATTCTACAGGGTGGGGCCCCCTAGTTATAAGTAGAGTTATAAGGGCCCTAAAATGGGTTATAAGGACCCTAAGTTAGGTTATAAGTCCCTTAACTACAGTTAGTATAGTAAGGGGGCCCCACCCTGTAAGGGGTTTAGGAATTGGGGTTTTTTCATTCCTTAAGAAGAGTAGCGAAAGCCGAAAACGCGGGACCCTTGTTTCAAAAAGGTTGCCGGGCTGCCAAGGTCAGGCTGAACCTGTTGCGGCACAAGACCTCCCACATCCGTTCCGTGATGAGCGCTGTGGCGGGTCGCATCGGGATAGCTGAGAATCCCACGATCGCCTTACAGGAGACCACCAGCAGAGCCGTGAGCATGGTGAGAGAGAACGTGAAAGTCATGAGCAAGCAAGTGGACGAAGTCCTGAGAGAGGAGTGCAATGCTTTGGAAGACCGGCAGGAAGATGTCTGCATTCAGCAGAAGGAGTTTACTGAAGTCTCCAAACAGACGAAGTCTCGACTTGTGGATCTGCAAACTGACCTGCAGAAAGTGGCGGCATCCCTGCAGGAGATTGCGGCCAGCCGGGAAATCCACCAGTACCAGCATGGCACCGCGCGAAGGATGTGGTCTGGCTTGGAAGTCATGTGCTCCGCACCCACTCAGGGCACGCAGCGACAGAGATTGCTTTATGAGTCCGAGGGTTAAGAGGCATACTTGGGCTTAGCACACAGATTATTTGGTGTTTATTGAAGCCTTTGTGGCAAAAAATCTGGGCCGACATAGGAGTTGATTTGGACAACGGGCAGTGTCTTCCAGCTATAGGTATAGTACCACAAGGAGCCAACATGTAGGTCGCAACCCACATCCAACAAGTTTGTACATACGATGAGCGATCTGAGACTTTAAGCCACACGTCTCCAGAGCACGTTTCACCTCCAAGCTGGCGCAAGAGTGGGCAAGGAGTTCCAAATTCGGGTTCAGGGCTCAGGGTATAGATTCAAAGTTCCGACATCCAAATTCCACCCTCCTCGCCCCCCCCCCCCCCCTCGCCCCCCCCTCAGGGTTTAGGATTTAGGGTTTGGGGTTTAGGTTTAGGGTTTGAGAGTGAGGTGTGTTGATGAACCGGGAGTCCGGGAGGCAGAAGAAGGGACCAGAAGCAATCCTCAGATGCGTGTGCTTGGTGGGACTGATGTGGTGTCGGCCATGCCGAACTTAAGGTTTCCCCTAAACCCCTAAACCCTAAACCCTAAACTTAAACCTTATGGGCCTCAGAAGGTGTTGGCGCAATGTGACTTCTGCCCAGTGCTCTGAATGTCAAAGTGATCAAGTTCAAACAAGCGCGGGTAAACGACGGGAGTAGCTACGACTCTCTTAAGGTAGTCTAATTAGTGACACACATAGCAAAGTCTCCCCGCGATCGTCCTGCTTGATGGGCTTCTGGCCTTGGATGGCTGGGGGGGGGGGGGGATAATGTTTAAGGTAAGTTCTTCAAGTCCTTTCGAGACCCTCCGTTCCCTTCATAGAGGCGTAGTCAGGGTTTAGGGTTATAGGGTTGAATTGCGGTTTCGGGTTCAGCACGGGTTCAAAAAGGGCTGAGGGTTGACCAGCTGACCCTTCAAGGGACTAAAGGAGGGACCCTTATAAGGGACCTTAGGGGTAAGTTAGGGGGCTATTCAAGATTAAGGGTCTCTTCTAGGGGTCCCTCCTTATAAAAGGGTTGAGGATTGACCAGTTGACCTTAAGATTAAGGGTCCCTTCTAGGGGGTCCCTCCTTCTACGCCTTAAACCCTGCAAACCCATGACTGCCGCAAGCGCTTTTCGTGGATCCCACATCTGGCCCAGCCCGCGTCCTTGCGCCTTCTCTGCGCCTCGGCCTTCATGGTTGAGGGTTAAGGGTTTGGGGTTTACGGTTTCCGGTTTAGGGGTGCTTACACTCCGTTGCGCCCGATCCCGGTAACCCGGGATTCAGACCCCTCCAACGGATGGCTGGTTTGCCCGTTCGCACACTGAAAGCGGCAATTATGTGCCTGGAGTTCTCCAAAACCCTGAACCTTAGGGTTTAGGGTTTAGGGTTTAGGGTTTAGGGTCCCCACTACTTTGTAAGGCTCCCTAGGTACCGACACCCCATGGACCCCTCCCTTTGCCCTATAAGATATGTTTAAGAGGGTGTTATTATGGGTTCCCCTACTAGCCCCTCTCTACTACTCCCACTAGGTCCCCCCCTTAATTAGGCTTAATTATCCTTAAATAGCCTTCATTAATGGGGGAACTAAGGGGGGGGGGTTTAGGGTTTAGGGTTTAGGGTTTAGGGTTTAGGGTTTAGGGTTTAGGGTAGTATAGAGGGGGGTAGTAGGGGAACCCCATGATGTTAGGGGCCATCCTCCAGTCGCCTCAGGTGCTCGTTTGCGCCATGGCACTTCGTGCGGTGATCCTTGCCCTCCCGATGCCCCTTATCCCTTTGAAAGAAGGGGCCGTGGCAGAGTACAGCTTCGAACTGCTCTAGGGTTTAGGGTTAGGGTTTAGGGTTTAGGGTTTAGGGTTTAGGGCTCCCTTATGCAAGGACTCTATACAGGGGCCGTAGTAGGAGTATATCCAGGGAAGTAGGAGAACCTCTTAAGGGGTACACCCTTAGGGGTGCGAGTAGAACTCTCTTGATGCCAGCACCCTAAATCCTAAACCCTGAGGAAAAAACCCTAAACCCAGCACCCAATTAAGAACGCCCCCATATTTCTTGTCATACGGGGAATATAGGGATAGTTATATGTATATATATATATATGCACACATTTGTTAAGGGGGGGGGGGGGGGTTCTTAATAGTAGATTCGTAGAATTGGCTACAGAGAGGCTACCTGGGCTTGTCTACATCTGAGAAATCAGTCATAGACCAAAGCTGCGAGTGATTTCAGTCAAAGGAGTCTGCGGGCAAAATGGGCCTGCGGGATTAGGGGTGCATTTAGGGTTTAGGGTTGGGATGTTCCCCCTTATGCTAACAGTCTTTAATTGGGATTCTAATACCCCTATTATACTCCCCCAAAACAGGACTGTTAGTATAAGGCAGAACATGCAAAACCCTATCCATCTCCTTGTGCTTAGGGTTATGGTTTTGTTGGGTTTGGGGTTTGGGTGTTTTTGGGTTTTTTTGTGTTTGGGGTTTTGGAGTTTTGGTGTTTTGGGCTGCTTATTTTTTTGGGGTGTTTGGGTTTGGGGGTTTTTGGGTTTTTTGGGGTTTGTGGGTTTTCCGCCTACGCGCCTGATCTGTGAAGAGCTACAAGCCTCGCCATTTTGTTTGGGGTTAGAGCATGTGGATATGGGCTCATCCTTAACAGCGCACTGAGATCCCTTGGTCCCCACATCGCCATACCAGGGCCGAGCGTGGGGTTCCAGAATTATGGGGTTTAGGGTTTCTGGTTTAGGGCTTAGGGGTTTTCTCTTATGTTCTCCTGAAGTCCCTTTAAAAACGATTTCTGAAGTGAACGTGCTTCAAGGAGCGTTCTGCATGCGGCCCGCCCTAAACACAGCACACCGCTTTGTATCTTGCTACAGGGTTGCCGCTGCTGTTTTCAGCGAACATACCGACAAGGAATTCATGGTCAAAGGGACGCCACATAGTGGCTCTATAAGGTCAAGGGTCTACTGTTTGACATTGCAGCGTACGGGTTTGGTGTTTAGGGTCCTGTAGGATCTGGCTAGTCCGCAAGCCCAGTTGCAACAAGGGTCATGTAGGTGATCCGATGATGCTCAAACTGAGATGGAAAGTGACCAGGAACATGTTTACGATTTGTTCTTCCGCGCGACCTGAGAGGGCTCCATGCACCCTTTGATCCCGTGCGCCCCTAAACCCTAAACCCCAATCAAGCCTTCAACCTTTGCCCTTAGTCTCAAATTCTACAATAGGGCCTTTAGGGCCCAAAACCCCTTTAAATTCCTTAATGGGTCTAATGGGTCTTGGAGCCTTAGGGTTAGGGTACTTATAGCCCTAAACCCTATTTATTCTAAGTGCCTACTTACCTTCAAGTAACCCGACCCGACGTGTATAAGCTACCCATGAACCTTCAAGCAAGGCTCGTGATGTGCAAGCCGTCTCTTCGCGGCAGAACCTTGGCCCTGGTTTAGGGTTTAGGGTTTAGGGTTTAGGGTTTAGGGTTTAGGGTTTAGGGTTTAGGGCTTGGGGTTTAGGGTTTAGGGACGGGTGCGTTTTCTCCTCGCTCTGTTGCCGCCCATGGTGTAGGCGGATGTTGAGGGCAGCCGATGAACTGGAAGCCTTCAATTGGTAATCCCAATACCAGGATGGTCTTGCTTGATGCTTGCAGGCTCATGGATACTTATGAATAGGGTTATATATGCGGCTTTAGCCTTTTGTAGAACCCTGCCCTCGTTATAAGTACCCATGAACCTGCAAGTATAGAGTCAGACAGTTCTTGTAGTCTTTATAGAAGTTGGGGTTGGTTTGGAATCACTCCAAACTTCCTATGGGCCTGGTCCCCACATGACCCTGTCTAACCCATAGAAATGTATTTGATTGCAGGGCCCCATTGTAACCCAGAAAGCCTGAAGTTTTAACCCCTCAACCGAACCTGCCGTGTGCGAGTGCGAGAGCCCCCTAAACCCCAAACCCCAAACCCTAAACCGTAAACCCTAAACCGCCGAAACCCTCAAACCGCTAAGTTGAGCTGCCATGCAGTGGCACTGGCAGCTTGCCAGCTGGCCCCGTGACCTGCCAGCAGGTTCTCGGGTGGGGTTTCGGGTTTAGGGTTTAGGGTGGTTTGGAGGGCATGCGGCGAGTTGCGGGCAAGCAGGGTTTGCCCTCAGTCTGCGGCCAAAATGGACCCTGAACCCTAATTAAACCGCAGTATATATATATATATATGTATATATGTATATATGTATATATGTATATATGTATATATGTATATATGTATATATGTATATATGTATATATGTATATATGTAGATATCCCTAAACCCCAAATTCCAAACCCTAAACCCTAAACCCCAACCCCAAACGCTAAGCCCTAAGCCCTAAGCCTGACGCCCTAAGCCTGAAGCCCTAAGCCCTCAGCCCGAAACCTTAAGCCCAAAGCCCAAAGCCCTAAGCCCTAAGCCCGAAGCCCGAAGCCCGAAGCCCGAAGCCCGAAGCCCGAAGCCCGAAGCCCGAAGCCCTAAGCCCTAAGCCCTAAGCCCTAAGCCCTAAGCCCGAAGCCCGAAGCCCGAAGCCCTAAGCCCTAAGCCCTAAGCCCTAAGCCCTAAGCCCTAAGCCCTAAGCCCTAAGCCCTAAGCCCTAAGCCCTAAGCCCTAACCAACCTCTCAGTGGAGGCCTCTGAAGGGGATGGAAGGACATGCTCATGACAAGTGTTTGGGGGGGGGGGGGGGGGGGGGGGGGGGGGTCCAAAGCTAGGGTTTAGGGTTTAGTGTTTAGGGTTTAGGGTTCCCTATGGCATCCTAGATTCTACACCCTAAGCCCATCCCAAAAACCCTAACCCTAACCCTAACCCTTAGCCAGGAAGGGCTGGCAGCGCCCCAGGTTTTCGGGTTCGGGGAGTGAAGTGTGTGGGGGGGAGGGGCGTGGGGGGGGGGGGGGGGGGGGGGGGGGGGGGGGGCTCAAACTCGGGTTTAGGGTTAAGGGTAAGGGTTCCTTGCTTAGCAACTGAGCTACCCAAAAAAGGCATCCAGGGTTGACTCGGGTGGCATTAGGGTTATAGTTTAGGGTTTAGGGTAGGGTTTGGGGTTTATAGCTTGGGGTAGTTTAGGGTTTAGGGTTTATAGCTTAGGGTAGTTTAGGGTTTAGGGTAGGGTTTCGGGTTTACGGCTTAGGGTTTCAGGCACATGCAGATGTAACAGTTGGAAGTACAGGGGTGTTAATATGGGAGCCCAAGAGAACCCCCAGGAATCTAGTGGCCTTTTGAAAAGGAATGCAGGCACCCGGGTCCTCACATTTTGTTTTTTGTTCTTGAGGCCTCTGGTTCCCGGTCTGTTTTTTTTTTGTGTCTCGGGTTCAGACATGATCCCCTTTGCGGAGGAGGGTTTGGGGATTTTTTATCGTTTTAGAATCCAAAGGGATGATCCCCTGATACTAACAGTCCTGCATAGGGATTCGAATAGGGGGTGCGATAATCCCGATTGAAAACTGTCAGAAAAGGGTGAGCATCCCAAAGCGGGGAAAACCTGACCCCTAAATTTAGGGTTTAGGGTTTTCAGAGAATCCGAGAATCCCACTTCTTATTCCCCCCACCGCCCCCCCCCCCCCCCCCCCCAAACCCTAAACCCTAAACCCGAAACCCCTTGGGGGCCCTAAACCCTAAACCCTAGTTGCCTCGCCCGCTTGTGCCAGTGTGAGAGTCTAAACCCTAAACCCCAAACCCCAAACCCTAAACCCTAAACCCTAAACCCTAAACCCTAAACCCTAAACCCTAAACCCTGGCCCTAAACCCTAAACCCTAAACCCTGAACTCCTCAAAATCCAACCGCTAAGGTCTGTTACGGCGGGTCCATCCTCACGGAGACGTTCTCGGTTCACGTCGTCAGCCACGATGGTGAGGTTGGCATCGTTGACATGCAGGCGCCAGTTGGTTTAGGGTTTAGGTCTTAGGGTTTAGGGTTTAGGAATTAGGTTTTAGGGTTTACGGTTTAGGGTTTGGGGGCGTTCGGTTTCTCTGCTACCTGACCAGACCTGCAAGTGCGCTTATGATCTGAACCTTGAGCGAAAGCATGGCAGCAAGGGAAGGAGCAACGACTGAGACCTCTCGGCACCATAGAGTTCAGGTTTTGGGCGTCTCTGGAATGTGTGATCTTATGACAAGGATGCCCAGTAGTACCCTTATGCCGTGCCCTTTTCTTGGGGGATTTAGGCTCCCTTACCAACAGCTTTACGCAAAAAAGGGCACCCTTGCTGGGGAGGTTGCCTGCCGACGGGATTTCAAAAAAACTCTGATTTAATCCAACGGTCGAAGATTTCCCGAAAGTCTCTGGCCTGAAATGCATGCTAGCTCAGCGGTTCACGTCTGGAGCCTGCAAAGGAATCACTTTTTTTCGTTGTTAATCTTGAATACTTTATATATACACAATGCTGTATCCGCAGAGCATTGCCAGGCGCATGGCACGAAGAACCAGAGCTGTAGACGCTAAAACCCTAAACCCTAAACCCTAAACCCTAAACCCTAAACCCTAAACCTTGACAGAGGCCACCGGACCGGAAACTGGTGAATGCCAGGGCGCCAACTTCGAGAACAATGACAACGTGCCCCGGCGTAAGATGCAGGGGTTTAGGGTTTAGGGTTTAGGGTTTAGGGTTTAGGGGCCGAATGAATCAGGATGGGTGTGATTTCGGCTCTTGGGGTGGTCGGGGGTTTAGTTTTCTTTTGTTTTGATATGGGGTTTTAGGGTTTGGGGTTTAGGGCATAGGGTATATCTCATGACCAAAGGGGGACGCTGAAGCTCGTCAGGTCATCACCATTGAGAACGACCACGGCTGCCTCTTGCTGGCACATGCGGCCCCACCTCCTTGGCCGATTCCCAAACTCGTGCCCACAAGCTCCATGTGATACGTCCCAAATTTCGGGCGCTTGGAGGTTTAGGGCTTAGGGCTTAGGGCTTGAGGCGCGGGACCTTCGGGGGTTTATAGGGCTTAGGGTTTAGGACTTGGGGTGCAGAGTTAAAGGTTTAATGGGGCTTTGTCGGGCAATAGGGATGAAAGAGCCCCCTCTTGCAATCCCGAGAAAAGGACTGTTAGTACAAGGGGGGGAACATCCCAATTTTTGAGGGTTTAAAGGTTTAAGGTTTAAGGGCTTTATAGGGATTTAGGGGATTATAGGGCTTAGGGCTTGAAGCTCTGGAGGCCTTCGGGGGTTTATGGGGTGTAGGATGTTGGGGTGTTAGGGGTTTCAGGCTCTGGCGGCCTTCGGGGGGGGGTTTAGAGGGTTTTCTTAGTCGTAGAGTAGGTAACCTTTAACCTTTTTGGGGTGATATATTTCCCTTACAATCCCAAAGGTTAGCCTTTAAGACCCCTAGGTACTGGACAACTAAGGTTTTAGAGTTTACAGGGTTTGTAGGGTTTCGGGGTTTTAGGGTTCATAGGGTTTATAGGGTTTATAGGGTTGATAGGGTTTTTGGCTTTTAGGGCTTGCAGGGTTAAAATTTCCACACAAAGAACCCCTCAGAAAACCTGACAAACGAGATCGTGGGTGCCTGGGCAGAAGAGAGCCCCCAAGCCTCCAATGAAAAAGAATTTAGGGTTTAGGGTTTAGGCTTTAGGGTTAGGAAATGAAGTGCTGTGCCTGACTTCTCCAGTAACCGCAGAAAAGGACAGGTTACCCTCCATTTTTCCTACCAGAGAAGGAGACCCAAACAGATTAATGTTCAACTCTTGGCGAAGTAGAGTTTTCTCTGGAACGGAAGCTTCCGAACTCCCTCACTCCCGACTAGGAGCTTGGAAGGCTTTTCAGCCATGGCGGAGCAAACCCCACTTGGAGGGCCCTTTGGGTGCTTAGAAGTAGGGTGACAAGTACCCGAGAGAAGTTTCTAGCCATAGGTACCTACTTTGCACCTGCTTTCTCCCCCCCCCCCCAACAGGGCGCCACTTCCAAGCTGCACGTGCGCCCTGTGTCCAGGGTGCACGCGCCGTTTGTGTCCAAGGTGCACGCGCAACGCTAAACCCCAAACCCAAAACCCTAAACCCTAAAGCCCTAAGAAATACCTGGTAAAAAACCCAATGAAAACAAAGCGCGTGTGCGGCCTGGACGCGGGAAAAGCCGTGGGCACCTTGGACGCGGACATGCGTGCGCCTTGGAGGGGCTGGCCCTGGGCTAAAATAGCCCCCAAACCCTCTTGGTTTTCGAGACTTGGGCCGGGACTTTTTTGTGCACAACCCTTGGAGGCAAAGCTCTGCTTGGCTGTCGAGCTTAACTAGGGCTCAGTGTGGACGACCCCCTTAAGTAGTTGGCAAAGAGAGTCCCGGGAAGGGTTCCCTAAACCCGAAACCCTAAACCCCAAACCCCAAACCCTAAACCCTAAACCCCAAACCCTAAACCCCAAACCCCAAACCCTAAACCGTAAACCCTAAACCTGCAATGTGGCCTGAGTGTCAGCTAGGCAGCTAGGCGGGTGGCAAAAAAAAGCCCCTAAACCTCCGAGCCGCCCCCCCAACAAAAGGCGGCCTGGGGAAGTATGAGTACACGGTGCAGTATTGCCCCGACCAGGCCGGGGGGAGGTAGGGTTTAGGGTTTAGGGTTTAGGGTTTAGGGTTTAGGGTTTAGGGTTTAGGGTTTAGGGTTTAGGGTTTAGGGGTCAATAGGACTTAGGTCTAGGGTTTAAGGACGGAAAGGGGGGGGTGGTTAGGGGAGTTTAAGGGGGGTTTCATGGTTTGGTAGGGTTGGGGTTCTTGGCGGTTCTGAAAATTGAAAAGCTTTGGGGGTTCTGGAAAATTTAAGCTCAAGTTGATCGGGGGATGGGTTGGCAAGCAGTGCCAACCTCTGGAGTGACCAATTCCTTCTAAACTCCCACATGGAGGTTCATGGTTACTTCTAGGTAGAGGGTTATAAGTAGGGTATCTGTAGGGCGCTTACCCTACTTGAAGTACCCTATGATAACCCTTCTTGTAAGTAGGGTTATAATAGGGTTCTCAAAGCCCCACGCATAAGCACCCATGAACCTCCAAGTAGTTCCCAGGACAACCTGATCATCAACCTCGCGAAGCCCTACAACGTCCGCGTGGTCCTGGACAGCCAAACCTGCCCTGCTGCCGGTGAGGCCCCCCCCCCCCCCTTTTTGGAGGTTCATGGGTACTTATACCCAGTTTGTGAGTCTACTTGTAAACTACTTTAGCGGACTTCGGGGACTTGGGCTTTTTGGTAGAGCAAAAATGAGGTGTTATAAGTACCCGTTACCCTGAACCTCCAAGCACACACACACACACCCACCTTCTCTGCTCCCTCAAGGTACAATGAACCTCCCAAATCGGGTTCTGCAAAGTAGGGTGCCTCATGGATTCTGTTTTTCATCTTGGGACGGGGGAGCCTTAGCCTACAAACCGCTTCATCCTGAATACAATGAACCCTAGCTTTCTCAATCTTTCTCAACCCCGGTAGGAGAGAGAGCCGCACCCCTCTCGTTGCTCGGGGCCCTCAAGATATCAGAGCCTGTCAAACCTTATGTGGTCACTTTGAAGTAAAATGGGTTTAGGGTTTAGGGTTTACGGTTTAGGGTTTAGGGGTTTAGGGTTTAGGGTTTAGGGTCCTCGCGCGTCATGTTTCCGCCCTTCCTATCTACCCTAGTCGCGCAAGCCCGCCAAAAACCCTGACGCCTAACCCAAGTCGCGGCCATGACCCGCTCAACCGGCTGCGGTCTAAGGTTTAGGGCTTCTAAGAGTTTAAAGGGTTTAGGGTTTAGGGTCTAGGGTTTCGGACATGTGGGGCGTAGGTGAATCAAGGGCAATATCTGCCTTCGGGTTAATTGAGGGATTCAGTGAAGTTCATGGAGGGCTTACTTGGAGGCTCATGGGTGCTTATAGAAGAAGGGTTAGGAGTAGCGCAACTATGGTTATATCAAGTTATATCCATTTTGGGGGGCACCTATAATCCTACTTATACGTGCCCATGAACCTTCAAGTAGCCCTAAACCCTAAACCCTGGTTTCCGAACAAAGTCAAGGCATGGGGTTCATAAGGCTTCTGGGATTCGAGATTTGAGAGGTGAACCCTCTGAAATATACCGAAGATAAGATCCCCCGATGCCCCAAGAAGGGAAGTGGCAAAATGGTTGCTCAAGGCCGCGTTTCTGGGGCACTTCGGGTGTCTTCATGCATCTGTTTAGGGGCCTACACCCTCAACCCTCAACCCATAGGGTGTGAGGTGCTGGGTTCTATGGGGTCTTGTAGGTGTTGGGGGTTTTCGGGTGGGGGAGTGTTGAGAAGGCTGATGGAGGCGTGTGAGGTTTAGGGCTTATAGGGTTTTCGATCCCTAAACCCTGAGCTCGAAACCCTAACACCCTGAGTCCGTAAGGTTTATCAGGCTTGCTCTTGTTGCTTTGCTTGCGTTGTGGGGGAGACTGGGTTTAGAGGATTTAGGGTTTATCGGTGTTGCCTCCCCATCCATCCACCAGTCCTATAAGCAGTTAGGGTTTAGGGTTTCGGGTTTAGGGTTTGGGTTTAACTTAGGGTTAAATAGCGTTAATTTTTTAATTTTTTCATTTTGCTGAAGCAAACCGGTATAAAGCAACCAAGCAACCAAACGTTGTTTCCAAATGTTGCAGCGAACAAACCGATTTATGGAAAACACTAACATACATACATACATACATATATACATATATATGTATATATGTATATATGTATATATGTATATATGTATATACGTATATATGTATATGTGTATATATGTATATGTGTATATATGTATATATGTATGTATGTATGTATGTATGTATGTATGTATGTATGTATGTATGTATGTATGTATGTATGTATGTATGTATACATGCATATATGCATAAATGTATATATGTATATATGTATATATATATGTATATATATATGTATGTATATATATGTATATATATATATATGTATATGTATATATGTATATAGGTATATATGTATATATGTATATATGTATATATGTATATATGTATATATGTATATATGTATATATGTATATATGTATATATGTATATACACATCTGTTTATATATAGTTATATTATATTATAGTATATCATATTATGTTATAGTTATATTATATTAGACTGGAAACGGACCTCATTTTTGCAATTTTCACCCATCCAAAAGTATAAAAATAATATTTTTATACCTAATCAGGGACGCCAAAATACAGGGAGCCAGGCCGGAGGCTGAAGGGCGCCAGGCCTAAGACTGGAAACGGACCTCATTTTCAAGTTTCTCCCATCCATAAGTGTCAAAATCGGTAAATTTTATTCTACTTAACTTTAACCAGGGACACCAAAAGGGGCACCAGGCCTGAGACTGGAAACGGACCTCATTTTTGCAATTTTCACCCATCCAAAACTATAAAAACAGGTATTTTGATAGTAATAAACCACAAACGGAATTTTTTTTTGCAATTTTCACCCATCCATGAGCCAAAATACAGGGGAGCAGGCCGGAGGCTGAAGAGACGCCGGGCCTGAGACTGGAAACGGACCTCATTTTTGCATTTTTCACCCATCCCAAAGTGCCAAAATAAGTGTTTTTCTACTTAGTCAGGGACACCAAAAGGGGCACCAGGCCTGAGACTGGAAACGGACCTCATTTTTGCAATTTTCACCCATCCAAAAGTGCAAAAATAGGTAATATTTCAATAGTTAATACGTATATGTAAATGACAGTGGACCCCACAAAATTTAAGGCCGAGTATTGAAATTGCTTGTCCAACAAGGCATGCATACAGGCCCCGTCCAAACAGAGGCCGATCTTTGCTTACAATGGTCGCAAGCAAGCCCAAGGCTGAAAACCGGCATACTTTTCCGTAATTTTCGGCTAGCCGAAAGTGCAAAACTGGTTACACTTCCGGGCTTGATTGTCAAACAAAACAAAGCAGGCCCGAGAAAGTGAGAGCACCTGGTAAATTTCGCCTCTGGTGTTTGCTTGATTGAGCCAGATCTACCTTTCAAGATCAAAAATGCGGTCTGTAGTTTTCAACATTGAAAAGAATGCAAAAAACAGTCTCTTTGGCAGAAAAACCACCCTTAGAAACTCATGAAGAGCGCTTACAATTTGGTCGAACTTCTTAGGGTTTAGGGTTTCTTAGGGTTTCTTAGGGTTTAGGGTGCTCAGGGTTTCGGGCTCTTAGGGTTTAGGGCTTCTTAGCGTTTAGGGCGCACGGTTTAGGGCTTTTGGCTTCTTAGGGCTTAGGGTTTTGGGCTTAGGGCTTCTTAGGGCTTCTTAGGGCTTCTTAGGGTTTGGGGTTTCGGGCGCGGCATAGGGCGTTTTTAGGGATTAGGGCATAGGGTTTTGAGGGTTTGGGTTTGTTAGGGTTTTGGTGTTTCTCAGGGTTTTGGGCTTTTTTTCTTCATCTGGAATCGCTTGCGGGACGAGTCGTCCTCCAGAGTGAAGCACGGGTCTAGGGGTTAGGGATTGGGTTTAGGGTCGGTTTGGGGCTTCTTAGGGTTCAGGGTTTAGGGCTTCTTAGGGTGTTTTAGGGTTTAGGGCTTAGGGTTTTTAGGGTTTTAGACCCCAAACCCTGAAGACCTCCTCAACCCCAACGGCGCCCACGGTTTAGGGGTTTAGGGTTTAGATTGCCGTGGACAAGAGGGGGGGCAGGGGGGGGGGGGGGAGCGCACGCCCTGCGCAAGCACAAAAAACGTGCCAAGTGATTCCACAAAAATTTTGCTAAGCGACCCCTTCCCCCACAACCTGCCTGTCCCGACTCGCTCATTTTTGCAGTTTTCCACTATTGCTATTACCAGCACCATAACTACTTCTAATGCGATTATCAATATGATTTCACTATTGTTACTACTATTATTACCGTTACAACTACAATTACTGCTACTAATGCCGTAATAGTAATCGTAATCGTAACAAGAACAAGAAGAGTAAAGGTAATAGTAGCAATAATAGAAATAGTAATCGAAATAGTAAGAGTAAGAGTCGCCGTAATAGCAACCCACCCTGAGTGGACTTCCTCGGGTATATGACCCCCAATTAAGGATTCATTTCAACCCCAAAACTTAAACTTGCAACCCTAAGCCCCAGCTCTGAAGGTGAACTCCAAACATCGACCCTCAACCCTAAAACTTAAACCGGAAACCCCAAACCCCAACATTGAACCCTCAACCCCAAAACCCAACACCCCAGCCCTCAACCCTAAACCCCCGACCCCAAACCTTAGAGCCAAAATCCTAAACCCAAACCCTAAAACCTCAACCCTGCACCGTAAACCCTTTTTCACAAGGGACTCGACTGCTGCCCTTTCTGCCCGGACCTTAACCCTAAACCTTGAAACCCTAAACCCTAAACCCCAAACTACAAACCCTAAACCCCGCCTCTGAACCCTCAGGCTTCTTAGGCTTTAGGGTCTAGGGTTGGTTGCTGGTTTAGGGTTTAGGGTTTAGGGTTTAGGGTTTAGGGTTTAGGGTTTGGGGTTTGGGGTTTGGGGTTTAGGGTTTAGGGTCCCTAAGCCCTATAGCCTGCACCCTCAGAAATCCTAAACCTTGAAAACCCTAAACCCTAACAAACCCTAAGCCCTAAACACTAAACCCTAAGAAACCCTAAGCCCTAAACCCTAACAAGCCGTAAACCCTAAATCCTAAGAAGCCCTAAACCCTAAACCCTAAACCCTAAACCCTAAACCCTAAGAAGCCCTAAGAAGCCCTAAACCCTAAACCCTAAGAAGCCCTAAACCCTCAGACCCTGAGAACCCTGAAGCCTAAAAAAAACAAGCCCTAAACCCTAGACCCTAAGCCCTAAACCTTAAGAAGGGCCCTAAGAAGCCCTAAACCCTAAACCCTAAGAAGCCCTGAGCCCCAAACCCTAAGCCCTAAGCCTTAAGCCCTAAACCTAAGCCCTAAACCCTGATCCCCAACATCACTCCAAATCAAAACGGTCCCTGAAAAAGCGCTTTTCGCTCAGTGAAAAGTGCATGAAAGGGTTCGTTTCGAGTTAACAGGAAGTCGAGGTGCGAGGATTCGAGGGTTTATTTCAAACAGTACATATAGTCCACGCACCTAGTCGTCCGAACGAGCGTCCTGTTTACACTTTCCTATAGGCGAAAATTGCAAAAACAATGCCCGAATGGAAGACAAATCCGGAGCAGCCGCGGTTCGAAAAAAAGGCCGCGGGACAGTTCGCAGAAATCCCCCTAGACAATTCACAAGGTGCCCAGACATTACGAATTATCTAGGGAGAACCGGTTTTACCCAGACAATTGTAATGTTAAAATCGGCTTTCGGGAAGACGGTCTTGGTGTAAGGCCGATTTCCCCTTATAACTGT